CAGGACTGTGGAAAAAGACTTTAGACACACTTCCATTTTAATTTCAGCCCTCAGTTGTCCTGGAGAAATAACAAACATTAATTCATATTCTGATAAGAACTTACTGTCAGTACAAACTATATGAGGTCATGGAATATGGGTGTGGCTGGGTCCAGGAGAAGAGCTTACACATTCACAATGGGTGAAAGGAACAGCAGGCTGACATTGTGTTACTACAGGAGACTCTTTTAGAAATGAGAAACAGCTGCTGATGTTCTCTCATGCTCAAGCTACGAGGCTGTGTACGGCTCATATATATCACTCAAATGTTGAGGACCATGTTTTTTCATTTGTCACTGCTTCTTCTCTTCAATCCTCATAGGAGGGACTAACTTATCTGAGTCTGACTCAGGAGTGAACAGGCTCAGTCTCACAGGGAGTCAGTGAAAGCATCAGTCCACTAAGATTACTGAACGATCAGTGGATGTTTTTGGTCTGTGAGGCTTGGAGTGGATTCTTCTTTACCTATACAGGAACATGTGTCCTCTGTGTCCACCATAAAGTCCTTGTTGTTGATTTCGGTTGAGCGGCAAAAGTTGGTTGAAGTGGGCCAGCCAGATCTCGAAGGCGGCGGACGAGGCGTCCACCGAGGTGTCTTCCCCCTCCAGGGCCGGGAAGTAATACGGGCAGAAGCAGATGAGGAACACCACCACCACGATGCCCAGAGTGTGGGCCGCCTTCAGCTCGCTCCTCCTCACGGCGGCGGCGGCCCCCGGATGGCGAGGACCGATGGCGGCCACCCGAGATCGCAGCGTCCGGGCCTGGGCCAGAACCGCCGAAAACATCCGACCGTACAGCACCAAGATGACGGCGATGGGCAGGATGAAGGTGAAGACCGTGTCCACCACCCCTGTGTAGTAGCCGTTTGTCTAACAAACTTGTAACAAAAATTAAATTAAACTTAAAATAAAACAAACGACAACTTCTGGCACCCTGGGCAGGCATCGTACGCAGGCAAGAAAATGATTTAAGTTCCACGCAGAATTGTTTATTGTTGTTTCAGGTGAGCAAACAAATCTCTTGCGCTGGTAAAAAAAACCATGTGTCCACTACCCAGGTGCATACAGGTGTAGTGCCACTTCCTACCTATATCCACCCTTACCTGTGCGCACCACTACCCCCAGGTGTCTAAAACCTAATACTACAATTAATAAATTTAACAAATAAAGACTAAACATAAAGCAAAATAATTAACTAGACGAATTACAAAAAGAATATTACCAAAATATGAAACTATCACTAATGTAAACAAATTCATAATAAACAAACTAATCAACAGAATTACCACCACTCAAAGTAAAAGTACGAGATGACTTCCACACCCGGCGTTGGGGTTGATGACCACCACGCACTCCCCCAGGCAGGAGCTGGACCGGCCGGGCTCCGCAATGTGATCCTGGAGCAGCAGCAGCCTGAAGACCATGGAGGAAAACCAGCACAGGCACACGCCCAGCCTGGCCGTGCCTGTGGTCACCCTGGAGGGGTACCGCAGGGGGTCGCAGACGGCCACGTAGCGGTCCAGGGAGATGAGCACCATGTTGACCACGGAGGCCGAGGTGATGACGTAGTCCAGGGTGTAGTACAGCGTGCACACCCAGTCCCCCAGGAACCAGCAGATCTTGATGTAGACGATCTCGACCGGCATCAGCAGGAGGCCCACCAGGAGGTCGGAGACGGCCAGGGAGAGGAGCAGCAGGTTGGTGGGGGTGTGGAGCTGCCTGGGGAGGGACAATAGAGTCAGTACGGGGTCAGAGAGGTGGACATTCACAGAAAACAGAGGGAGGTCAGATCGCTATTAGGGATGGAACGGTTTATGAAAACTGTCCGAACCGTTGGGTTCGACTGTCTCGGTTCGATTGGCGTGTGTTGCGTTCGGTTCATGCGCTGCTCCTTTTTCTTATAGGGAAGTGTGTTCACTCCAGGGCAGAAGGTGGCTGTACTGCGCCCAAAACCATCCACCAGTAGGAAACAAGAAGAAGAAGCAAAGCCGGGTGTAGCAGATAGAAATCAGACTAGGTCTGCTGTACGGGA